TGGTGGCTGTGGTACGGTCTGTGGTGTTATTATGTTGTTGTGTTGTGGCGACTGTGTGTGGTTGCTGTGTGAGTGTGTGGGGCTGCACGGGCGGACTATGGTTTGCCGTGGAGGCTGCTCTGTTTGAGCAACAGGGGGCCACGTACGACGTGGTCCACTGTCTGTGTGTCCGTAGTCCCGAGCAGACCCTGAGGTGACTCCACCCCTCGCAGGCATTACACTTGACTGAGGTGGAGTTGTGGTGTAATCGTCTTCGGCATACACAGCAGGTGTATATTTCTGGCCCAGGGTTTGACTCGATGCCAGCCCTGAGTAGGAGAATGCGTAGTGAATGTTGCCCTATGGACGGGCAACTTCTGAGATACTTCGCCGACCTAAACGGGGTTAGATCGCCGAAACAACAGCCCTTGGTCGGGTGAAACCCGAGTCATTCCGGTACGTAGAACCGGCTGTCGTGGGAATGATAAAAGATCATTCTTTTGATCTTATTGTGCTAATGATTTTATTAATAAATGAAATGAAATGAAAATGATACACCTTTTGCAGAGAACACCTTTCTGCGTAGGCGGCCTGCGGGATTATAACCCTCACCACGTAGAGTTCTTTCTATTGTATTGTTTTGTACGGTATGGCCATACATCTTCTGTGTCAGTTTGCAACCATGTGTTATTGTATCATAATTGTAAATATGTAGTCTGTTCCAATAGCAGTCCGGTTTACAGGATTTAGTCAGAACTTACAGGAAGTCGTTCCTATTGACATAAAACCTGTAAGTGGGAACACATTTGAGAGAGTAACTGAGCAACTGTTCCTAGTCAGAAGTTACAGGATTTAGTCCGGAGTTTTTTTTCCTGTAAGTTCATGAAAAGTGTCAAACGATCAGCTGATTTACATGTGCAAACAAAAACAGAAAGCGGTGAAAGCAAAGAACCTTATATTTGTTAAAAAATGGAAGTAAACAACGAAATATTTGAATATGTATAGATTTTAATAATTATTTAGTGATATTTCAGCCAAATCAGTGTAGTACCAATGACATGTAAACAAACCGTCTGACGTTTTTACAGGAAATAGTGCTTTTTGCGTTCCTATGCACTTCTGCATCTGTTCTCCTTTTACTCTCATTTGAGAGCGTAAAATTGTAGTTTGACAGTTCCACAGGTTTTAGTCCGAAGTTCAAAGGAACAGACTAATGGGTGCAATGTAACGTAATTACAAGTTAATAAAAGTTGGATTAAAGTGATTTATATACAAGATAAAATAAAATAATGGTGTGTAAACTATTAGGTAGTGTTATGTGCATTTATATATATGAAAGTATGTGACAAATGCACTCTTTGATAAGGAAATCAAGTGGAACGTCTTAAGAAATTTCATATATGTATATATATTATTTATTTATTTGTTGTATTAAATTTATAATAAATTATAAAATTTATAGTTAGTTACAGCGCTAGCTGCTAGGGCTCTTGGCTGTGTCGGTAATGTAAAAGTGTGGATTATATCTTGGCATCGATGGCTCTGATGTAATTGTATATAACGTTGATGTTCTGGATTGAAGGAGTTTTGAGTAGATCGATTGGGTTGTGGTTGTTAAGGATGGAATTTCTAGACCTGCGGTGCTCCGGGCATTCGAGGAGAAGGTGGTTGACTGTTAGGTGTGCGTTGCAATGTAGACAGTTTCCGCTGTGTTGGGTACTTAGTAGGTGCGAATGAGTTGCGTTTGTATGCCCAAGGCGAAGGCGGGAAAATACAAAGATTTTTTCTTTTTCTATGGTAGTGGGGTAAATAGCAGGTGCATTGTTTTTGTTAATAGTTGAGTAATGGTGATGTTGATTGAGTGCTCTTTTGGCTTGTTGTTGTTTTCGGTGCTGTTGAAGACAGACACGCGCTAGATCAGTTTTCTCTATAATGGGGCTAATGATGGTTGGAGCCTTGCACGCAGACTTCGCTGCATTATCTGCTTCCTCATTACCAGTTATACCTACGTGTCCTGGTATCCAGAAGAGTTTTGTGTGTTGGGACTGGTGTAAAATATCACGGATCGCGTTTATTGTGTCCCAGTTACTATTGGAGATATTTTTTATGGCTTCTAAGACCGAGAGACTGTCGCTGAAGATTACAGCCTTCTTATTCTTTTTTTGGGCTATTTGACCTAAACGGGGTTAGATCGCCGAAACAACAGCCCTTGGTCGGGTGAAACCCGAGTCATTCCGGTACGTAGAACCGGCTGTCGTGGGAATGATAAAAGATCATTCTTTTGATCTTATTGTGCTAATGATTTTATTAATAAATGAAATGAAATGAAAATGATACACCTTTTGCAGAGAACACCTTTCTGCGTAGGCGGCCTGCGGGATTATAACCCTCACCACGTAGAGTTCTTTCTATTGTATTGTTTTGTACGGTATGGCCAACATCTTCTGTGTCAGTTTGCAACCATGTGTTATTGTATCATAATTGTAAATATGTAGTCTGTTCCAATAGCAGTCCGGTTTACAGGATTTAGTCAGAACTTACAGGAAGTCGTTCCTATTGACATAAAACCTGTAAGTGGGAACACATTTGAGAGAGTAACTGAGCAACTGTTCCTAGTCAGAAGTTACAGGATGTAGTCCGAAGTTGTTTTTCCTGTAAGTTCATGAAAAGTGTCAAACGATCAGCTGATTTACATGTGCAAACAAAAACAGAAAGCGGTGAAAGCAAAGAACCTTATATTTGTTAAAAAATGGAAGTAAACAACGAAATATTTGAATATGTATAGATTTTTATAATTATTTAGTGATATTTCAGCCAAATCAGTGTAGTACCAATGACATGTAAACAAACCGTCTGACGTTTTACAGGAAATAGTGCTTTTTGCGTTCCTATGCACTTCTGCATCTGTTCTCCTTTTACTCTCATTTGAGAGCGTAAAATTGTAGTTTGACAGTTCCACAGGTTTTAGTCCGAAGTTCAAAGGAACAGACTAATGGGTGCAATGTAACGTAATTACAAGTTAATAAAAGTTGGATTAAAGTGATTTATATACAAGATAAAATAAAATAATGGTGTGTAAACTATTAGGTAGTGTTATGTGCATTTATATATATGAAAGTATGTGACAAATGCACTCTTTGATAAGGAAATCAAGTGGAACGTCTTAAGAAATTTCATATATGTATATATATTATTTATTTATTTGTTGTATTAAATTTATAATAAATTATAAAATTTATAGTTAGTTACAGCGCTAGCTGCTAGGGCTCTTGGCTGTGTCGGTAATGTAAAAG